AACAAATTAAAAAAAATATTGAATATTTAATAGTTGACCGTTGCATTATAAAGGAAGGAGATGGTCCGGGGTGGCGGTCATAAATAGGCTAAATAGTGGCAAAACTATTTTATTCTTCAGGGATAGAACGGATAAGATACAAAAAGATAGAGAATTGTGAAAGTTACATAATATTAATAAAAAAATTAGCAACAATGTGAATAATCCTATTAAAATTATAAACAGTAAGTACATTAAAATATAAACAGAGCAAGTAACAAGATCCTAAGATCTATAATCTCTTAATTCTATTTTATATGTATATGTATATATTTATAATTTAATATTTCATAGATATAGTATTTTTGCCCTTGTATCTATTCATATCTTCAAATTTTAGATAATGTAATTTTCTAGGTACTTCCACATTACCCAAACAAATCAGCTGTCCTTACCATCGTCTTCCAGTTCTAAGTGAAACTCCTATCTGAACCCACCTGTAAGTCTCTATTTTTATTCTTTTAATTTTATTTAGTTATTTTTTGGTTTTCTTTTTTGTCTCCACATTCCTTTATGCCTATTCTTTCACATTATATCCTTTTTCCTTTTCTTTCAATCTCTCCTATAGATCTGTTGAAGTATATTCACATTTGCATATAATATATATTACACTACAACAATTGTTACCATCTATTTACTTCAGTTTAGGATCTTGTTGCTTAGCTTACTCTGTTTGTATTTTAATGTATTTACTGTTTATAATTTTAATTAGCTTATTCACATTGTTTATATATTTTTGTTTAATATTATGTAACTTCCAGAATTCTCTTTCTTTTTGTATCTTGTCCGTTCTAGCCCTGAAGAAGACCTGCTAAGTCGGGTCGAAACGTTGGCTTTTAATTTTTTTTTTTTAATTTAAAATTATTATTAAAACACTTTATTCAGAAATATTACAATTTGTCACAGTTTAAGGACACTTATAATAGAGTTCAGAGATTGCATTCATACCGTATATACAAAAATATAAATAAATAAAGTAATAACAAAAGAATAAGAAAAAAGAACAAAAGAGTAAAGAAAAAAAAAATATATATATACATAAGTAAATAAAAATAGAAATAAAAGTAAAACAAACACCTTATATAAAACATACATTATTTACAATTTGCCAGGTGATCTCCGAACCAATCCTGTCCCCTCCACATGTGGAGGGAAAAGGGAGGCTTAGGAGATCCCTACGCTTCTCCCTCAGCCACTTCACTGGTATTTTAAACCAGCGGAGGATGAGTAAGAGCGCTACAGCCACAGACACTCATGACTTGAGTGGAGAATCTGGCCATTGCTAGAATTGCAAAATATCCATATTTACAAAAGGTCTCGTGGCCACTGCCGCTTTAACCTACGAAGGGGATTGTAGGGATGGGTGGTGCTTGATAGGGATTGTACAACGGGATTTGGGTGATGAGAAAGGTTCTGGTGAAATTTGGAAAACTTGGCTGGGATAAGATCAAGAATAAGTGGGATATTAAGGTCATGGTGTAGGGTTTTATTGGTTACATAGAAGGGAGCATTGACTATTGTACGGAGGACTTTAGACTGAAAGGGTTGAATGCGTTTGATGTTAGAAAATTTGGCTGTTCCCCATAGTTCTAGTCCGTAAGTCCAGATGGGTTTCAGTAATGTCTTGTAGATCAGTAATTTGTTTTCACCAGAAAGTTTAGATTTTCTATTCAGTAGTCTATATAGCTGGCCATATCGTCTGTTAAGTTCCTGTCTTTTAAGTCTAGTATGTGGATTCCATGTTAGTCGTCTGTCTAAGAGAAAGCCAAGATACCGGACTGTATCTGAGAAAGGAAGCTGGATGGAAAGATAGGATCGGAGTACTAGGTATAAGGACTGTGGTAGGTGGGTTTTAAGCTTGAAGAGTAATCCGGCGTGCCATACCCGGTCAAAAGCTTGCGCTATGTCCAGAAATGCACCCGAGCAATACTGCTTGCTTTCTAGGGTTGAGGATATATGGTCAACAACTCGGAGTCCTTGTTGGACAGTGGAATGTTGGGAACGAAATCCGAATTGATGAGTAGGAAGGTTATAGGATTCAATTATAGGTTTCAATTATAGGTGGCTTTTAATAAAACTGCTTTGCCACTATTTAGCCTATTTATGACCGCCAGCCCGGACCATCTCCTTCCTTTAAATTAAAGAAAAAAATTCATAGATACCGTCTCAAAAGTGTGAAGTGACAATTCGAATACAAATGCCCCCCTGATGATCATGGGCTTCGAAGTGAACGTCTGAATGACCAATATGGAACTTTTTATCCTCTGATCACAGTTGTACCATTGGCTGCCGTACGAAGAGTCGAAAAAATCGTAGCACTGTAAATAAAAACAATAAATATTTAGATATATCATTCCATAAATATATTACATAAGCACAATTGTGGAATTATTATTATTTCTTACCCTGCTTTTAATAAGTTCTCCGGCGAAACAAGACACAAACAGCTGTAGAAATATAACCGTAGTCCAAGGAATCACCTTGAAAGATTCTCTTACCATGTCTTCTGCCTATAATATATCATTTAATTTTTTGTAGTACTTATATGGTTGAAAAGTATACCATAATATATTTATCTATAGATATATTCAATGTAAATTACACTTTCTTTGTGAAATTCATTTTTTATTAATTTATTTTTATTGACATTTGTTGCGTTAATGCCGCAATACTCCGCCATATTGGAATTTCCTACTTCACTTATAGTATAATACATCATTTGATTTTTTTTTTTTTTTCGGAATCACTTGTGTTGCACTATTAAATAATATTCCTTAGATATTTAATGTAATCTCACTGAATACAATTATGTAGAATTGTAAATACCTGCGAAACCAGGAAGAGTACTATAACAATTGAAGAAAAGGCATTGAAAGACTGCGGAAGAAAAATACGGTTGATGATCTTTGCGAACTTACTCACCACTCTAAAATATAATATTAGATTATAATAATAGCATAATATATAATAAAAAAAAACATATAATTCACGTTTAATTACAACTTAAAACTAAAAGTTCATTAACTTACTAATTAAGAGCTATGACAAGAGTGTAAAAATTCATAATTTTTATATTTGTTAACTACGCTTTATTTAAATAAGATGTAAAAAAAAAAATATTTATACAGAACATTATCACATATTTTTTATTATAAAAAATATTCTATTTATTATTTATATTTTTTTATTTGTGCATTTTTAAATAAATTAAATTACAAAAATTCATCTCAAACATGAAAAGCGAAATCGTGTTGGGATTTTAAAAATCATTTTTCATATAGCGTAGCCCAAAATCAGTCTTGGTCTTGCACTTTCCATGATACTTTGTAATACCTCTATAGTAATAAGCTAATAAGTAACTGCAAGACTGTTGGGAGATTCTTGCGCAAGAACAAGGCCATGACCAACACTCACACGGTCTCGCATTTGGGCGCACTATAACACTAATGATTTTATTTTTTAAGCTGGGCTATTTACATATATAAAAAAAAATTTGCGAAACTTGATTATTTGGACTCAAAGGATCTCAAAACGTGCATTTCCGTTGAAATCTAGGATTCGAGATTTCCACGATCGAAATACATTACCATACGATATATATGTATACATGTAAGTAAAAATAATAATGATTTGAAATTTATAAATAGGAATCGAATCGTTGATTCAAAAAATCCCAAACATTTTTAAAGTATGTTTATAATATGAGACTTTTCTATTCTACTTAGATAGTTTTTTGAAAAAAATAACCCCATTAGTTTGGTGCAGTTATTGCGAATTCTGAAATGAATTTTTCTTTCTTCTTACGATAATACTTTTAGATATAAAATATGTAATTTTCTTTTCACACAAGCTTGCAGCTATTAATAGAAGTATATTACATTACAATTTTGAGATCACTTATAGAAACAAATTTTCATTTGGTGGCTTCAGGCCGAAAACTTTTTTTTCAGTCAGCTAAATAACCCATTAGACACATTACCTTGCAAAATATTGGGAAATTGATTTTTTTTATTTTGTTAGATGAATAGTGAATATAAAAAATTCAAGTTTTCAACAATGAAAGATCTTGCATCGACATTGAAAGTCGATGCAGAGGCAACAAAAAACAGTTTAATTTCGGCCTTTTTTTTTTTCTTTTTTTTGTATGCTAAATATCTACGTCCTAAGGCGATGTTGTAATGTAATGGCTGTATTCATCGTAAGTAGTTAGTCGACTGTTCTACATTATAGATGATAAATAGTCAGGATGTATTCATTTTATGATTTTTATTGTTGTTGGATCGTCAACAGGGCACGTTACCTTTACTGAAGTTGTTTAAGTACTCGATATAAGTACTTGAACACCTTCAATACAGAAAACATGCTCTGATGATGACTCACATGCTTGGGTTGAAACATCGGCAACAACAATAAAAATCTTAAAATGATTGCGTCCTGACAATTTATCATCAATAATGGTTCTATCTGACACTTCTAAAGAGTTTAGAATTATCTAATATTTCTTCTTACTCCAACAGGAAGCAAACTAGCGATCCTTCAAAATGGGCTAAGTTTTAAAAATTTTAAAAACAAGAAATATTTTTTATTTGTAGTTAATTACCTGATGGAACGTAACGCAGCTCAAAACATACACCATTTATAGGATTTTTGTTTTCTAAACTTAACAAAAATAAATTTATGTTTCGGAGTTTGAAAAAAATCGTAATATATGTTTTACTGATTTCTAATTATTTTAATGAAATTTCATGAATAATTATTGTTATCTTTGTAATTTTAAATTAAATTTAGACCCCTTTTTTGGTGCTAATTTTGGGCTAAGTGTGGCACAGTTAGGATTAATTACGTTTTGTTAAACTGCTTCTGAATTCTTTATATTAATCATTCATTTTACGTTAGATAAAATCTAAAATGGAGAAAATTCCATTAATGTTAGACTGATCTCATTTCATTGTCTTCATTGCTTACTTTAGGAGAAGTATGTGTTCTTCCACACATAATTTTAGAATGTTGCTATCTGTCGGCTTCATTCCAGGAGGCAACTTGAGCATATGTTTGTGCTTAAGTCTTTCTAATTTCTCCTCTTCGGGGAGCCCAATGATTCTAAACGTGTTCCGAAGAATAAACATGCGGTGGCAGGTCTGATTCGATATAAGAAGGAAAAGAGTGTCAATGAAGAAGTTGCAGATGGTCTTGATAATAGCTGTCCCTTGGAAAAAGAAGTAAGTGCTGAGAGCCACGACGACGTTGTCTCTTGGAAAAGGAGTCCAGAAGGGCATCAAGAGCTTGAGTTTGCCCTTCATGAAGATCTCGATGAGCGCAATGACTCTGAAAGATAATGCGAGGAACTCGTAGAAGTAGATGAGCACATAGGTGATACGACCTACCGTCGTATCCGCCCGAAAGTCCTTCAAGAAGTCTACTAATTCCTTGATGTCGTATCTGTTGGTGTAGAGGAGGATGAGTTTGAAGCTCGCACTGGTCGTGCTCACTACTCCAGCGAAGGAGTACATGCATGCTGTTACAGAATACTGGTCATGGAGTTGTGTGATACCGAACAAGAAGCATAATGTCAAAACAGGCAGACTGATAGAGAGATATCTGAACCATATGTGGAATGGGATCCGAAGCCAACTGTTGCTCAATTCTCCAGGCAGGACAATCCCCAAGAACCTGAGGACGTATCTGTGCTTCTTGAAGACGTCCATCGACATCTTGCTCAGTCGCCAGCAGTCTGTACTAGAACCCTCTATATTATAACAACGAATTATTCAGTGTTTTGTCCGTGAAAATGGAATGATTTGGGTCGAGGAATTATTTATTACGATCCGAAAGCTTACTGAGAATCGGTAATGGAGTAATTTGCGACTCAGCTAGTTAGGAAATTATACATAAAGAACAATAATTTCCTTTTTGTAAATAAAAAATATTACGTATATTTCAGAAATTCAATCCGGTAATTGTAGGTTCCTAACCGTTATAAATAGTTACTACAGAAAATAAGCGTATATACAAACACATCACTAAGATCATCTTTTTATTTAAAACTGGAAATAATAAATTAATAAAAATATGTCTAATATACCGTATTACGTTTAAAATTAATTAACCTCCCATTGTCGTCTGTTTACTGCCTACCTAATTTCACAACTATTATATTTTTAACAATTGAATTAATTCTAACTTGTTTTGAGATTAATTTTTAGACTCATTAAACATAAAAGTCATCAGCGCCCTATTAAAGAAATAATACAACTATAAACTAGCTTAAAGAATAATTTAGGTGAATTAGTAAAATGTTTAGCATATGGTTATTAAAAATATACATATTTATTTAGCTGAGGATGCAGATTAAGAAAAAAATTATAACAAAGTTAAATCAACAATAATAATATTAAAAGAAAATAAATAAAAATATATATAAAAAAGAAAAGAAAAATAAATAACTAATATAACCCAAAAATAAATAACTAATATAACCCAAAAATAAATAAATAGAAAAATTCAAATTAATAAAAAAAAAGGTACTAAGAAATAATAAGATTATTTTTATATCTCAATTATTAAATTTATACCCTAATAAAAAACGATATTACATTATCGGATCTACTTCTATCGCTTCCTCAGGCTATCGGGATGTTTGGTGATAATATTATTTCGGAATGGATTAGATAAAATGGATGCGGAATTATGTTTTTCTTAACAAATATATTAAATTTAATTTTGAAATGAAAATTTAAGAAATTAATATCAAACCATTTGAAGATTATTCAGCAAATTTGCTCATATTTGAGCCGTATCTAATAAGCCGTTTTTTAAATGTAGGCTTTGAGAAAATAAATCACGAGGCCGTTAGCGAAAGTAGGGGTTGGAATTTGATAAAAATAACACTGAATCGTGTTTCTCTGATCTTTGACTTTTCTCCAACTTTCAGCCTAATCGAACGAGCCATTATTGTTGTGTAAGATTTTTATTTTATTTTATTTTATTTTCCTCCCTACCCCGCCTTTAAGACAATACGGGAGTTTGCAGCAATGACTTGATACACATTGCACAACAAATCACTGTTGCAAGTTTATCTTTTTACATTTTAAATTGCTGTGCACACAGCCTGCTTGATAATTTTGTCACTTAGTTTATCGTTCTCCATCTTCTTCTCCTGTCCTAATCAGCGGCCTTCCAGGTACTGCTTCTTCACGCCTTCCCAGGGAGAAGTGGGTTGGGCCCACAGTTTTTTTCCAGCCGCATACAAAACTTTTAAAGTGCGGGTAGTTTTGTTCAGACATTAGTTGGGGTAATTGTCTTTCTGTTAGAACGAAAAGCCCTGTATCCCTCATTAATTTGGCCCTTAGTGCCTCATAGCTGGTGCAGGCTACAAGGATGTGCTCAGCGGTTTCAGGTACTCCACAAGTGGGGCATAAGGGATCGATATTTTTACCGTGTTTAAAAAGTTTCGCTCTGAAACCCTTATGCCCCGTGAGGATCTGTGAGACCCAATAGTCCGGGAGGTAACATTTCTTTTCTAAGCGCGATTTAATGGAGGGAAGGAATTTTCTTAGTGTGGACCCGTTTGGGGTTGTCACCCATCGCCGATTCCATTGTTCCAATGTATCCTCCCGGAGGATCATCTTCCATCTTCTGGGGTCATCACAAATCCTCTCCCGAATGTTTGCTGGTAAATCCGCCAAGTCATCCCTCTTAATGTTGTACCGATAAAGGTCTTCCCGCAGGAGGAGGTCGAGAGAAATACCTCCTCCTAAGACCTGCACCGCCTCATGGGACACAGTTCTGTATGACCTGGTTACTCTAAGCAGGGCCATCCGCTGGATTGTTGCCAACTTGCGCTTCTGACGGTTCCATCCGGGGGACGCCTATCTCAGGATACCAACAACTACTCCTTTATAAATGGACATAGTTGCTGGATATCTAAGGCCCATGTTTGTTAGCACAGCAATAGTTACTATATTGCTATCAGATGGAGAGTTTATATGATACTTTATCACTAACCTATAACCTTTCACATTAACAATAAAAATTGAAAAATAACAGTTCCCACAATATCGTTCACTTTACACTTTACTTCTCAAGTATTTTAAGCAAGAGATTGGCTTAAGCTAGCCTTGAGGTATGGGAGGAAGAAGAAAACAATAAATGAGTAAACAATGATAAGGTGTTTATACTTACCAAGTTCACTTTACAAGTATTCAGTTCAATTTTACTTGGCCTTTCTTCCTAATTGTCTTTACCGTTCTCAGTTAAAATAGTTCACCAAGAAACACCTCTCAAGGTAGTAAAAACTTACCTTCCTCTCCTAACCTCACAATTTACAAGTCAATGTTAAAAAAAATAAACAAAAACACAAAACACTAAACAAACACAAACTAGAAAATGAACTAAAGAACTGTGAACAAGAAATAAACGACATAACTAAGTATAAAACAAGAATATTAATCAAAAACACAATCAGTAAATAATATACGACCTATCGCTCTCACTTACACCATATGGTCTGTTCTGTAAGATTACGATCATACGTTTCTGCTATCTGCAAACGGAAGTAATTAATGGTATTTAATGAAATTTATATGAGACCATCAAAGTACCAACCCCCGAAAATCTTTGAAAATTCCATCAATATCAGATTATTGGTGGTGATATGTCCGGTCACATAGTTTTGACTACAGACAGACAAGGGACTAAATTTGATCTCTGGTGCCAAAAAGTTAAAAAAAAAAAACAACTGTAAAATTGCGATTCTCGGCACATATTTTTTGAACTCCCTGACAAATATAATGCTTTCTTACCTTCATAGTAAAATGAAAGTTTCATCCATACATGAATTATCATCGCAGAAACATTCGAATGTACTGACAGAAATAATTTGATCAAAGTGCAATTTCAATTAAGATTACATCAATCATATCTTCAGTCTCTACTATAGTTTTGGAAGCTTTTTATCATTACAGTTCGCCATAGTCCATGGTACAGACCCTTTTTTATCGAATTATTAACATCCGTCTGAAACTTCGTAAATTCGTAAATAGCTAGAATTAATTAATATTTAATTATGAAAATTTGAAAGTTAATAGAATCAAGTTAAATATATGTATATGTGAGTGTGCATGTAGTGATAAATAAAAATATTAACAGTTTAAAATATACATAGTTTTTTTAGTCCATGGTACAGAAACTTTTTTATCGAATTATTAACATCCGCCTGAAACTTCATAAATAGTTTCATCTCATCGTAACCTACAACTATTTTATTTACGAAAACTCTTGGGATTGGGGCGTTTTCAATTTGGAGGGGAGCAAACTTTGTATATTTAATTAGATACTAAAAACTCGTAAATACTTATTTGATATCTACTTAAAATCGCCAGATAATTTTATCACAAAATCGAGAAAAAATGTGGCCTTCAAGAATATTGAGCCGTTTGGCGTAACCTACATCCCCAAAATTTCAAAATAACGAGGTTATATAGGACAAACTTCTCAATATTTTTGTAGGCCACCTTTTTTTCTCGAATTTAGTGATCAAATTATCTTACGATTCAAGTAGAAAGCGAATGAGTATTTATGAGTTTTTAATACCTGATTAAATATACAAAGTTTGCCCGCCTCCAGATTGAAAACACTTTAATTCTAAAAGTTTTCGTAAATAAAATAGTTGTAGGTTACGATGAGATGAAACTATTTGCGAAGTGTCAGGCGAATGTTAATAATTCGATGAAAAGGGGTTTATACCACGGACTAAAACACTATGTATATTTTACAGTTAATATTTTAATTTATTACTACATGAACAATTCCATATACATATATTCAACTTAATTCTATTAATTTTCAAATTTTCATAATTTAAATAACTAAATATTAATTAATTCTAGCACTAGATTAGTAAATATTGCGCAAAAATGTTCGGATGCCTGCGGCTGCAGTTTCGTCTTGGAGGCCAAATGCAGCATAGAAGCTTCGGAGGCTGCATGTGGCCTATATGATGTTGTTGTGGCCTCCAAACATTTTAGCTTGATATTAAATAATCTAGCACTATAATTAATCATAAATAAAAATATGAAGAATTATTGCGCCATCCACTTATAGTCTACACCATTTATAACACGTTAGTATATAATAATAATTTTTCCAGTATTTGAGAGCGATGAATTTTATTGAAGACTTTGATTTTAAGGGAAAAGAAATTGCATGGTGAAGCGACAACTCTCATTTTCGATTCTTAAATTTCTTCAATAGCTTTAATAAAATTCATGGAAAAAAATAGGGAGTTTTAAAAACTCAGAAGGTTTCAAAATCAATGAGTTGAGACGGGATAAAATATGTTGTGTTCTAAATATGTTGGCACATTCATCAAGGAACTATCGAGTCCAGCTTATTTTTTTATTTTTTTTTGTTCTTTTAAGGCCCAAAGATATCCATAACTCATGCCGAAGGTCTCCTAGATGATATGGCTGTACACATAAAGCGAGGGACAAAATTTGTAACATATTTGCATTTATAATGGTTTATTGATAAATATTACAATCTGTCTCAATACAAGACATTTACAATAGAGCTCTGAGAGCACATTCACACCATATTTACAAATTAAAAAATATAAATAAATAAAAAAAATAAGCTAACTTCAAATAATATAAAGCTACAAAAAAACAAAATAAAATATCATAGTGAGAAAAAAAAAATGAAAATAAACATC